CCTGCGTACTTTCACCGATGACAAAGACAGCACAAAGACCAATGGACAACATGGCGTTGGCCAAAGACGGGTCTCTGACGAACGCTAAGCTGCAGGTTAACAAAACGGCCCTCATGAATAAACGAAACCTTCCAGAAAGCCCCCAATCTATTATGCTTCATAAACAGCAGAAGAAGAACAAGAATGTTGTTGGCATTTCGGAAAACTGAAGAAAAATAGAATACTCAAGTTTAGCTCTTTATCCAACAGAAATACTTCTAGCGACTTCCATGTATAAACAGTCGTGATGTCACATCTAGCATCTTTCCATTAGCAGCTACATCCCAAGATATTATAAATTGGGATGTTGCCTCACAAAATATGACACATTAACCCTTCAAAGTACAGTGGTAACTGTAGGTTACGTACTTATCACATGACTTCAACATTCGCATAGTTGAGTTTAAATTATTGGTTTCAAGTTGAAAGAAGTTCAAATTTAAAAAGAAACGTTTTCTTTTCTTAAACTTATGTCGCTTATTGTGTTGTGGTGATAATCTTAGAACTATAGGCGTGGATTTAAAATACGCGATGCATTAAAAAAATTGGCTATTACGTTACTGTATTATCAAAATTAGGTGATTTTCATACACGTTTTTCAAATGAGTGAAAACATGGCTTTTCGTTTTTGTAGGTCTACTTTCGACACCAATTTTCTAAATTAACACACACTGCGATTTTATTTAATGTTTCAAATATTTACCGATTCGCTTCTCTATCTCATAGCTAAACGGTCGTCTCTGGAAGATATCCTTTCTGAAACCACCGATTCGCTTCTCTGTCTCATAGCTAAACGGACGTCTCTGGAAGATATCCTTTCTGAAACATCTTTCACTTTATTCTGTACTAGTTGAAATATGTCTAAAATACACTTTCGATTTCCTATAAATGATAGTCCACGCCCAATTTGTACTTAAGTCAAGTATGACGATAATAAAATTAATAAAAGTATTGTTAATCCAAACGACGCTATAAATGCGCTGAGACGGCGACAGAACTGATTTATAACAAAGGCAGAAACCAGAATATGTAACTACAAATGTTTAATCTTTTAAAAAAGTATGTATATGTCTCTTCTAAAATTAGAATATGCATAGTATTTACTCATACAATTTCATTCACCCAACAAATAATGTAATTACTCTACATCCTTCACATAATTTCTTATTTTTCTACAGTTTGAGTCTCAGATACGAAAAGAGAATCCATTCCTACCATTCTCAAACACGCTGTGTAAAGTAAATGACTGGGAATCTACAGGAACGCATGACAAGACGGTGAAGAATAAATAGCCTACAAAAAATAGTAAAACAGTCTTCTACTGCAGTAATAAAACAACTTCTTTCCGTAAATGCATACAAGTTTCGGTAGCTTCTGCCTAAAGATACAGACAGTAGCTGCAAATATAAGAATAGTCTCCGAATAGTGGTCCTCTAGCTTGGGGATTCCATTACGAAAATTTTAATGGATAAAAAATGGGTTATCAGGAATAGAGCTGTATGGAACGGGCTCAGGATGTGTGGTATTAGCGGAATGAACCTCCGTGTTCTGCTGCCAATACATATGGTTCGGACGTATTTCGGAGTCTTAAACGTTTTCCTCATGGTCCTAGTTAGCGGGACAGGACGTCTGATAGTTTTGGTGGAGTTACCTACTTTTATGGCTGTTAAACGTAACGAAATGAAAGTCGAAACGGTTCACTTTTCAGGTAAGAGATTTAATGTAAGATACTTGCAGAGGATGTTTTAAGTCTTCAATTAATATAACTTCTGCGAGCAGACATCATGAAGCAACTGATTAAAACCAGAAGGAACAAGACAAGAAATGTCATTGGATCTACAAGGCCTAAATATGATGAACGATTTCTTCGCAAATTCGATGTCACCTCTGAAGAATACCAACCATCAAATGATCCTCAGCCATCCACGCATCAACTAGCTAACTAACTAACTAGATGGAATTACTGAAACCGAAGGTTCATAACCGAATTAACCAAAGCCCTCCACCGGACCCTGTCCTGGGCCAACGAAATCCAGTCTCCTTCAACTCCTATCTCCCATAGATCCCGCATGACATTATCCTCCCATCTACGTCTAGGTCTCCCCAGTGGTCTCTTCCCCTCAGGCTTCCCAACCAATACCCGGTGCACACCTCTTGTCCCATCCATGCGCGCTACATGTCCCGCTCATCTCATTCTTCTGAATTAATATCATTAATTTGAAATCAATACTTTAAACATATGTGACATGACTATGAAAATCAAACGAACACAATTCTCTTTTTTGTTTATGCAGGATGGTTGCACTACATGATTATGTCCAACACATTTTGTCATCAATAATTCGGTGGGTCATGATTATGTACAGTAACTTTTAAACAGCATGAGTGAAAGGCATGCATAGGCTTTTTTCTCCTTCAATACCTTGTTTTCAGATCGCTAATAATGGTGTGAAAATTGAATTTCACTGCGATTAACTCCTGGGAGGGGTCTTATGCACGTGCCATGAAACAAATTACTGTTCATGAGGCTGGAACACTGAACTTACACTTCCATCTGCGATTTTCTGAAGGACAACACGCTGTCACACTCTTGATTAATTCCTAAACATTCTATGGCCTTTCTAATCTGGAAATAAATTTAGTCCCGTGTCTAATTCAGTATCGATCAAGGTACAGCCCACAAAAACACAAGGCGGAATTAACGTAACAATCAACGTCGGTTGCTGGATCCAGGATCTTCAGAATGAAGTACGACCATAAACATGAAGAAACGAAATAAAATCCTTGTTAAAGAAGGAAATTCTTCTTCAGCACATTTATTTAAGGGCTGACCTTTAAATAATGTAAATTATAAACAGAAGTCTATTTATTAACCACGTAGAAACCCGTAGAAACATTCAGAATGGACGCGCAACTCTTTTGATTTCATCGAGTTTTCATCCCACGGAATTAAGCGATAACACATTTGAAAAGTAAAGTATTGAAATATTTCGAAATACGTCTATGCAAACAGCAAAAGTGTGCCCTTTTTGAAATACTGAGACATTATGAAAAAATTTTACAGAGACCACAGAATATAAGCTGAAAAATAGTTATTACGTTGAAAATGGACGGTCAAGGCTGATTCAGAAGAAATGCGATAGGGAGACGTAATGTTATTAAGATATTTAACAAAACTCTGTATAAACTCCAAGTTGTTATAACTGATTACAGGTAATTACAAATAAAGTCTGGAATGACCTCCAACGGTGTATAATGTTCACACCAAATTTCCTGAAAAGCTACTCATGGGCTTAAAAATTGAAAGGCTAGTCTGCAAAACAATGAGCCTGGTTGCCTCATAATCCTGCTCTCTTTTTTCCTTAAGAAATGTAAAGTAGGTTAAAAATTACACCCACAAAATTCATTAGTTTGCTCTACTTCTTACGAAGAGATATACAGTTGACAGCAAATATAGCACAGCACTTCTTGACAGGTGGATGAAAACTTCTCTTGTAACTTTGAAACAATATTGGCTTATAGCATGCCTATATCATAATATACAGTAACGTATACCAATTAACAACCTCCTGGTAAGCCTCACGCAGGCCATGTAGGCCTTCTTAGGAAATAAAATTGACAAACGGAAGCGTGAAGGAAGAAATTACATACAGAATAAAAACTTCAGCAACATTTAATCAATCAATTACGGATATTATCTAGAAATGGGAAAAAAATCATGAGGGGTATAATATTTATTTCATTTAACTGTTATAGGCCCACAATAATGAAAAAAATAGAAACCCAGGCACAAACTATGATATAAAAGCAAACTAAGGGAGAATAAATTAAATTTTTAATATGTGTACAAAGAAGCGCCAAAAGAGAACGAAATATGGAACAATGGATAATTTGGAAGATAAATTAATAAATAACAACACGGTGGAATGGACACGTTTTACGAACGAAGTCTGAATCCATAAGAAGGCATGGAACATGAAACTAAATGGATGACACCCAAGAAGACCTAGACCAAGATGGAAACAACAGGTTAGGAAATACGTTATACAGAAGGAAAGAACGTGAGAATTTCTTCAGGAAGGTATAGACGAAGGGGCTTGATTGTTGCACAACACGCATAAATCGGTAAAAAGGAAATATCGCAAATCGTCTTCATTATTGTACTGGCCACAAGATTTCAAACGTGCTCGGCTCCATAACACCAACACTGCACATAAATTACAACAAACTTTAAAGCACACAAAAATGTGTTATTGTTGACAACCGCCAATTATAGTCGAGACTTTTTGAATTCATTGCTTCATGCACACTGCTATTGAATAGTAGAATTATCACAGCCGGCTACAAACAACAATAAAGAACAGCACAAACTTTTCACACCACCATCACATCACAGCCTTTCCAATTGCTTTTGTTAAACGCCAGTAAAACACGTGAAAGGAATTCCCCCTCCTCTCTCTCTGTCCCCCCCCCAAATTATCTTCTACATCACCTTAGGATATCATTCATAAACAATATTGTCACTTTTCGAGGTGTGTTTAGTCAGCGGTGTGGTTTATTTGCCTAACACTTTAGCAGTGAATAATAACTACAAATAATTTCAGTTCTGTTAACAGTTTGTCTGGGCCTACTGGTAATTAACGAGGACGGCCATTATAGAAAACAGACAACAAAATAAAACTTGGAAAGGAGTTTGAGATTCGTGCACCATAACTTACCGACATGCACGGCAGTGATAACTAATATTAGTAACATCTGGAAAGTCAACGTTTCGAATCCCGGCCAGGACCCGTTTCCTGAAGTCGTCCTTTGTCTCAAATCTTCCACGCAAATCCCATTATAGTGCATTAAAACAGACCATGGCCGCTTATTTCCACATCCATATTAATTATTCCACATCTTATTGGATGTTACAAGACCTCAGTAATTTGTACAGCGTCGTAAAACAAACATAAACTTACCAAACAGCAGCAGCGGTTCCGAAGTAGTACAGCAGGAGGAATACGACAGCGCAGTTCGCGTTGATGTGTCCGTCCTGCGATAATAAGAGCCTGGAAGGATTTTGGGTGTCGGGGCTACACGCCACGGCGGTACGTCCTGCTGCTGCACGAACCCCCCATCCGACGCTAGCCAAGTTGTAGCAGAGCGCCAGGAAGGCCAGTGGACGCTCCGGATATCGGAACCTGGCTTGTCCTCCTCCCGAGTCCACCAGAAACGTGAGCACAGCGACGAGTGAGGAGATGAAACAGAGTCCGGCCCACACGGACAACCACACTTCAGCCAGGTACTTGTCCGAATTCTCGAACAAAACATCGGCATCGCAAAGTGGGTTACAGCGTCTAGTTCGATTTACATATACGTAACGATTGTGGCGTACGTAACGAGAACAGGGTGCAACACTGGAAGGCCGTGATACAGATGGGATTCTCGAGATGGCTGGCGTCGCAGCGTCGGACGATACCAACCCAGTACGCGGCCCAACTCCCACTTCGCCAGGCCCTTCCATGCACATGTGTTCATGGTTGTTCTCCAACGGAAACTTGGAGCAGTTCAAGGCAGCTGGCCAAGGAAATCCAAATCCCTGTAAAACGGGATAGCAGCGGGCTCTCACAGATTCGCACAACCCACGACATGGCCCAATGGGCGAAGCAACCTTCTCGGTACACATGGGTACATAGACAGAACACAGAAAAAAATGGAGCTGCGCAGAACAGCCATACTGTATCAGAGGAGAGAAAGTCTGGAGGGTAAAATCTGCATCGCCTTGTATTTCGTGACCCACAAGATTAGGCATTCCAGTTACGTTGTAACCGAGGCCCCAGCAAAGTTCCACGCGTATCGGTTCACACGTCCGCAGCGTCGTAGCCTCACCATTTACTGTCAACACCACGATCAGTGGCAACAAGAGCACGTAACACATGACGCAGCGCGGAGCCATGCCGGCCCGGCTACCGCGACACTAATCTCCACACTCTCTCAGCCAGCACTGCGCGAACTGACGATCTGAACCACAGTGTGGGCCGTCTGCCGCCTGGTGGGAGCAGTGCTGCCAACACATGCACACCCAAATGTGAGGATCGCTTACACTCGGAGTCCAGCCGAGTGCAGGGTCAGAGTTTAAGTCTCTAAAAACAAGGCTCGGTGATAAGGTCGTTCCACTGCCATTTCGTCCACCACGATTCCCATTTTAAGTTACCCGGCACTGAACCCGTGTCGCTGCGATAAGAAGTCAGTGACCTATGACACCACCACAAAAATATCACTGTATCACTTGAAGTCTGTGGTAAATAACTTGTACTCATGGACGATTGTTGGTCCATAGAATATCTATTTAATGACGCTACATCAAATGCAGAGGATTTTTAGACTTGAATTATTTCGGAGGATCATGTCTGGTGAAAAGTGAAGCGAAAAGCTAGCATTCTCCGAATATGAATTGCATATGCTGGACTATAAAATTAAAATCGGCCACAAACTATTTACTTCCACGCCCTCCCCAACTGACGGTTATCATCCTACCAAAAACCATCAACTGTATTAATTCATCGATCGAAAAGAATCCTACGTCTCTGAGAAATGTTGCGCATTACCGGTAATCCATGTAACCAGCACAGTTAACCAATTCCTTTATTTAATGTCAAAAAGTTACGACTTGCAATGAAAAAGTCCTTGTACCATGGGCGTCAGTGGAATGCAGCAGGCGTGGATGTCGTTTCCTTTCCACACCGCAGCATTTCACTCAACTGCAAAACTTAATCTCGTACTCCGAAGTTCATACATTTGTTGGTTATTAATACGTTTCGCCTAATAGTAACGTACTCTTAAGATTAAATTTTTTTAAAACTTTCTCTAATTCCACACTACAATTAATGTCAAAATTTGGTTTAAATCAGTTCAATAATTTCTTAACATTACTGGTGGATATTACATACAGAGTAAGTAAAACTATCTCTAATTTAGTTTCGATAATTAATAAATGCTAAATAATTAATCTCACGAGAATTCGTTTGTCTCACATCATACGCAATTAATTCAATCTTCATCAGTCTCGTAATCCACTGGCTAGTAGCAAACTTCTTAAGTATGGTAAAATGCTGTCGCGTAATCTTAGTATTAAACGCAAATAAAATAAAACCATTCGCCATTACAAAGAACAAATGGTGAATGTTGTTTAAGGAAATAAACCCTGCTATATTGAGAATAAACACATCTATTATTTTTAGATTATGAAAAAGCTTTCTCTAGTGTACTGAGACCCATGTTATTTGATATATTGAGAGAAAAAGAAACAAATACTAGATATTTATAAAGACAATAAAATAAAGATTAAATTTAATTCAAAATTATCCGTACCTTCACCGATCAACCAAGGAGTCCGGCAAGGATGTCAACTATCCCCAACTTTGTTCAACAAATGCTATAATGAAATACAACATATTCGGGAAACAGAATAAATAAAAGGAACTCCAATCTCAAAAAATGCAAGCTTAAAAAACAATCCTTTTTGTTGACGACCAAGTACTAATTTCAACTTCAGAAAAAGTTTAACAAATATCAGTATATAAGTTGAATAACTTAATAAATAAATAAATAAATACGGAAAGACAAAGACAATGCCATTCTTTGGCCGAGAACTAACAAGAAGTAAAATAGTAATAGACAACAAAATTATTGAACAAATAGAACAAATAAATACTTTTAATTACATCGGTTGTTCCCTATCATATGAAGCAGAAAATGACATAGATGTTAAAACTTCAGAATTTGTGAAAGTTATGGGCCTTATCAACATGATTTTTAAATCACCAAAAGTCCAAAAACAAACCAGAATTAAAATATATAATACTTTGGCACTACCCACAATTTTATATGGCAGTGATAACTGGACATTGAAAAAAGAAGGACAGAAACAGAATTACAGCTGCTGAGATGAAATTTATGAGACGCACTGCAAAGTACTCTTGGATGGACTATAAAAGGAACGAAGACATTATTAAATAGTTAAAAACAGAACCCGTTTTAGAAAATATTTTGAAATATAAAAACAACTGGCTTCATATGTTAACAGAACACAGAGAGACAGACTTCCCAAATCATTAAAAAGAACTACACACCATGTGCACGAAGAAACCCTGGAAGACCGCAGAAGAGACATTTAGACTACGAGGCTGGAACGGGTCAACATGACCTAACTTCTTGACGGTTTGATAATGATGATAATGACATTGAGAATCACATAAAAAATTCATCAATAAAAATACAGTGTTGCTGATTGTTAAAGTAGTTGTGATCAGCTCTTCATAGCCTCACGAAAAACATCAAGGCATATGGAAAAGGGCGGGTATTAAATGTGAGATTTCAGGTTATCACGGCGGCAGACTTTTGTTTTTGTGCTACTCTGTAATGGTCCGCGGTTTCGATAGTAAGAAACCGCTATGGAGGTGAATAACGTTCTAACAAAAACCTTTCAAAGACTGACTTACATCAGTATCCATGTCTTTCATTCAAAGACGGAGTCACATTAGAGTGACTTCTAGGTCATGGCGGACCGCGATTTATATTTAATTAATATATTTCTTGCTCTTTGTGCTATAGGTTATGTGTTCATAAAGAATAAATCTCTGGGTTCGAAAAGGATGGTGTAAAAACTAGTTACTTAAAACAAGCATAATTTCTCGCATTATTTATCTAAACGAATTATGTTTAGAACCAAATAATTGGTATAAATATTTGTGTACGAATTCCGAAACATATTTGCACTACTTGTTATTAATGTCTCTAAGAATGAAGAAAGAAAATACTTGCATGAGAAAAGCTATAGGCCCAACTCCTCACGAAAGCCATGTTTAGATACTTTGAAATTGGGCGCAAATAAACAATCAACTTCTCTACAGAAATACATAAAAGTTTCAAGTTGAAATTAATGGATCTACTTCCCACATTTCATGAACGTTGAAATAAAACTTATTTTCACGTTAGTCAGAATTCCTATCAAATTAGCAGGATACAAATTACAGTTTATTCACAATCCAACATCCATTTTTTTTGCGAATATCAGATGGAAGAGTATTTAAACGAGGTGGGGGTCACGATCCAACACCCGTGAACCAGTTTTTTTAATCTAGCCTATACAATTTAGAATTTGTTAATTAAGATTTTACTCCCCTCCCAGACAAATTTTTTTATCTCGAATATGTATTAGTACTGGCTTAAAAGCTATGTGCAAAAATGGCCTCGGTACACAGAAATTTGAAAATTAACAACTTCATAATGTTGCAATTTGTTTCAGGATGACTCTCCGTCAGAATTTCCGAGTTTTAGTTTTCCTCTCTTGAACGTAAACTTCACTGAATTCTATAATAACGATGGCTCCATTTTCCTTTGTCTTCCAGATCCAACATTTATAATCCACCCAGTATCAACTCTCCAATCAGCTTGAACGGTATAAATTGTTTTTAATTATTAATTTTCGATATGCGTTTTACAATATAAACGGTCATACATCTACAGTTAACATTGTGTATCAATTCCATGACGAAACGGCAGATATTATTAGAAATCTTACGATTTGAATAACTTCGGTCCCCTGTTCAATAATCCCTACATATATTCAGATTTTTAAGCAAATCATATTATATTTCAAAACTTTAGTAGCACGCAGGACCTTACAGCATGATAAGTTTGCCACATAACTTACAAGATAAGTCATACCGGAATGTTCTACTTATGTAATCATTACGCAAAATGCATTTTCTCACAATTTTGTATTTCACAGACGACATTTTCCTTTACATACTCCGGCAGTTGGTCGGAGTCACTTGCCTCAGAAATCACAAAAAGCAAAAAATAATAAATATTAATAACACGACGCATGGCAGTAATAATAACAGGTCTAAAGGCACAATCCGACATTTAAGTAACAAGATGCAGAACGGTTGTGATCTTCGAAGCGTTTAAAATTAAAATCGATGAACGTTTTGCTCCAAACTAACGGAACCAGACCCTGCTGTCTTCGTCAATACGTTTTGTACATTAAAATAAGAAACGTTTCGGGGGAACAAATTACCTGAAGCCAATTGCATGATCCACTACAATACACATTGGGCGAATGAATTATGCTTATGAGCACAGGATGAAAATACAAACATTGGAGGAGGGGAGTACCCCCCCCTCCCTGCCGCAGGTGCAGTAAGCACTCTGGTGTTCATGCATGCAACAGTTGGTACGCCTTATTGAACAGCATTCCTTGGCAGTCGTCTCTGGGTCTTTGCATTTTAAACGAGATGACGCCACGCCGGCCAGAGGGTGGGCGGGACCAACCTTTCAACTCGACAACATTTCATTGTTTCTCAAGCAGCCAGGCAGCGTAGTATGTTTACCTTTATCTTTATTGATCACACTTGCGTACCTTGTAAGTCATCACCCAACTAGACTCCCTCCATAACCATGTTTTGTGGTTATGAAGTACCAAAACCCATTACACGGCCTGCCAGAAGTGATCATGGATGGCGTTTTTGGAAGACATATAACAGTCTGATTGCTAAACACTATATATATTCGTGAGTTGAACACGTAAAATAAGCGCATTATCATATCTACGTTGTTTGTGTATTTCTACACCGGTTACAATGTGCAGCAAAAAGACTTCAATTCTAAGAAACGTAAGATTTATTTGGAGATCATAGCTGCATCGATTATAAGATAATACAATACTCAGAAACAAATGGATTTATTTTCATGCGCACACTGAGAATATATAAAATCATGCATACAAAGAAAACTATTTACACTTTGAAAAGATACTTAGTGCCAAACGCGTTTCTACCCCAAGAGGTCATCATCACTGGCAAATTATATGATTTAATATGAATTAATTTTATTATCACTGATGATGACCTCTTGAGGTCGAAACTCGTTTGGCACTAAGTGTCTTTTCAAAGTCTAAATAGTTTTCTTTGTATGCATGATTTTTTTATAAATACGCTGCACGGTATGCAAGGCTTTAAGAGATTGAGAATATTCTGGTACAATACCAGAAACTTTCTAATATGCTCACGACTG